TTGCCTCACCTATTATGCTTCGTGATAATGAATATTGCTTAGGATTACTAGGTGGGGTTGGTTGCCGGAATTCAATAATCCCTGTTTATATATTCTATGATTTATTACCTCAATTATGAAAGCAATTAATATTTGCCTGTATAATTAGTAACCATTTTTATCATTAATTTATTAACTATTCATAGCCACCGTTGATTGGTTACAGCTTCTGTAATTGAGTCGCTTAGTGGTTCCTAGCTTTCACCAGGCATTTTGCGAAACAACTGCTTTTCAAAATGCGTGGTGCTTTGTAAAGTGAATAGCGTACTTGAACACACTGCTTCTTATTTAGGACTATTCTTATTTTTACCACCGCATTTACGAACTAGTTAACACTTTTGTCCGTTTGCAAGAACCCATACTACTACCACTCCCGGTCTGCACGAGTTTGTGGTTACTGATTACGAATTGGCGTTACACAACACGTGTTTACAAGTAAAGGGCCGCAATAAAACGTGGCGGTTGCTGCCAACAGTTTGGGCAGAAAACTCTCTGGTCTGAGCCCTACTAGTGATCTCCATTGGAAATTTAATTTGCCGGCTTTCTAGAGTTTTGCCGGAAGGCGCTTCATTGCTGTATATTATAAACTGCTTAAATAAAAGTACATTTAAATAATCCTGTCAAGAAATCGGCAGAGTAAACTATCAACCAGGGCAGTTGGAGACAGATTCGTTATTATGAGTATCTTAACACATTTTGAAATAGTTTAACAGTTGAACTACGAAATATATAAATCTCAGACTTAGAAAATGTCTGAGAACACAACTCACCCGCCTGAAACCTATAATAAAACCTTCAAGGACATGATCGGTGGTTGCTTATAAAACAGTGAGTCCTTATTTACAAAGTCACAACATTTTGCATATTATGTGGACAGAAAACGCGTTAGAGCTTCAAAAAGTGGTCCTGAGGGACTTACAAATCACAACATTTATGCCGCAGTGGTTTTGATAGTAGCGAGTTGTTGCAACCTGGGAACCGTGATGCTAAATACGAATGAGACCTGGAGGTTCAAGTGTACTCATTACCTGATAGAAAAGACTAATAATCAAATTTGGTTGACATTTAGACGAAAGTCATAAGTGGTATGGCGATCGAAAGCATCCTAATCTAAACTGGCGTTTGTGCCTATATCAAAAGTCCCATTATTGTAAATCTATGAACAAATCTCGCACGAATCTGCATGCGAAATACCTGCTTTCAACTTCCAATCAGTTAGATAATCGCTTTTTTCTTAATCTGCACAGTTCTGTGCATCCACCGTTATTTGCCTGAAAGTACATTTCGGTGAACCCACAGTCATTCAGGCGCGTTCAGTATCCTGCATAAAAATTATTTTCGATTGTTTTATGATAATGCCACTGCCTCTACCTGAACGGGGTTGGTTTTCACTGCATACGAATAACGTTTATGTTGTATTACTGTGGATCTCAAGGCATGAGTTCGTCTCCATTACTCCTTTTAGTGAAAAAAAACTAACAAACGCACATAAGTGCTCATCGTTAGTTATTTAAAGTCCAACAGGCATATGATATGTTACTAGACTTTAAACTGGAAAACAATAA